AGGGAATGTTAGTATCCTTGTTTTACAATTGGCAAGACTGAAGTTTAGAGATGTTAAGTGATTGGAGTGTATAGCCAATAAATAGTAGAGCTGAACTTTGGACCTAAGCAGCAGATTACCACAAGTCTGTCACCACTGACAGAGAAACTATTCAAAAGAGCAAGTCCTAGTGATGGTGGATTCATTGTGTCACACAGAAGGGACAAAATGATATCCGATGATGTAGAACTAGCACGTGCAGTGTTGTAAGGTGTTGGCACCTAGTTTGGTTTTGTGTGTCTCCACATTGGCATATGAGGGAACAACGAGATGGGAGGGGGTTAGATATCCTAGGCTACTTGGAAGAGACCTCAGGGAATTAGAGAGCTTAGGCGTGAGTTCAAGCGTAGTTTAGATAGGAGGCGCAGTTTTAAATGAATTTGCCTATGAACCTATTTCTCCAACACCTTCATTTTGTGCAGATTTTAATCCAAAGTGTCGTGTGGCCAAGTACTAATGCAGCTGTATGTCAGAGAGAAAAGTGAGATTGTTTTGTCTAATTATTGCTTTGTTTATGCCTTTACTTTATAAGTTAAAAAAAAAATCCTCTCTGTGCCTTATCAGTAAGGCCTGGATAATGGTAATAAAGGTTACCCATAGAAAAATTCTAGGAATCCAAATGACTCTTATTCTCCCATAATTCTCTCGGGACATGTAAATTGAATTGGCTCAGCAGTGAACAGAATTTATTGCAAAATCACATCTTATTGCAGAGGAAGCATATGAAGGCTTTCCTCACCCTCCTTTGATTTATTAAATTGTACTGCCATTGTAGCTTCTGGGTCGAGACTCACAGAATTGCGGTGCCCCATGATCTATATCAAAGACCCACTTTCCTGCGCTGGTGTTTATCTTCAGGATCAAGCCCTGTGGTTCAGAGAGAATATGAAGTGTTACTTCTGTGTTCGATGCCAGCTGGTTTCATGGGTTAGTGGTGAATGCTTCAGGCTGGAATCAGAAGGCCGTTCTCAGTTTCATTTTCTCTCTGACTCGTGGCACATTCCTTCTTCCAATGACTCATCTTCTCTAGCTGCCCACGACATCTCATCACCCTCACCATCACCCTCACCCTCACCATCATCATCATCATCATCATCATCATCACAATGTCTCCTTTATCATGTGGTTAGTGGTTAAGAGCTTGGGCTCTGGAGACAGACTGTCTGGATTCTGCCCATTGCCAGCTGCCTAACCTTGGGCAAATGACCTAACCTCTCTAATGCTTCCTCACTTTTCCAATCTATATAATGGGAATAATTAGGTTGGTGTGAGGACTAACCAAGATAATGCATATATAGTGCTTGGCATGGTGTCTGACACATACCAAGGCTTTTGTCATCATCGTTTTTATTAATTTATTATTGCTGGTGTAATTATTTCATAATGACTCTCAGATGGACCCTGATAAGATAAACATGTAATTCTATTCTCTAGAAGCATACACTTAAAAACAAATATTCATTGGCATGGATATTTAACAAATCTTCATGTACAGTATTCAACAGAAGCTAGTGCATCCCTGTATCAAAGTATATAAAGCCAGAGGGCTAAAGCTTTGGTGTGGCCAGGTCGTAGAGTACTCTGGCTAAGCAGGATGGATAAGCTTAAGTTGGATTGTTGAGAAGGAGCCATAATTTAGGAATTATTTAGTGACTCATGTCCCCTTGAATTGATCCTGGAGAGTTGGGTTCTATCCTTTCAAGACAAAGGCTCTTCAGAGGCTTACTTGAAAGCATATAAATCTGCGATAACTCTGCTCATCATAAGACAGAAGCCAGAGCCCAAGAGACCTTTTATTTTAGGAAATTGCCTTTGCCTCTGAACCTCAGTCTGTCACTAGCGGGCAACTATAGAAGATTTCCCAAGAAGATACTGACCATTTCTAAATGGCAAATTACATGCCCTTCACTTCTGCCAGTATGGAAGGTGTTTATGAACCATAGACTACTGGTATGTGTGTGTGTTGGGTAGTTGTGTGCATTTGCCATTGCCTGGAAAAGTGAAAGAGGATTGGAACATCCCTGTAGAGGCAAGATAGAAGAATACACCACTTACTGGCTCTGTGTCCTTGGACAGACTATGTAACCTCTCTGGGCCTCAGTTTCCACATCTGTAAAGTGGGAATAACAGTACCTAACACATAGGTGGTTACAAGGACTAGATGATGTCATGTCGTACTTGGTAAATGCTCAGTAAACAAAGCCATTCCCTCTTAATGGTGTTACTCCTCTTAGTGCAGAGGAAGCATATGAAGGCTTTCCTCACCCTCCTCCTCCCTCTTACTGTGCCACCATCTGGCCTGTGTGATGGTAAGGCTGCTCCCCCACCCTGGGCCTTCCTGATTGGGCCATGTAGTCACGCATTCCTGGCGGGCATGGTTTGTTAGCTTTGTTTCAGAACTCATTCTCTTTGGCTCATTTACCCAAACAAGACAGAGATTAATGGCCTGGCCTCAGAGGATCAGGTGGCACATGTTTTTGGTACCTTTGGCTCATTGACCACGCCTCTTCAATTTGGGAAATGCTTGAATGTTCCAGACGGGGACCTCCTGAGACCCAGGAAACATTGAAGGAAGGTAATTTGGCACAAACTCGCCTCCTCATTCAGGAGGGCTGAGAGCCCTGGATTTTGCTATTTCTTCTGGATTTTGCCATTCGTAAATAGGAGCAAGTTTTTCTGGGACAGAACGTCTGGATTTAATGGGAGGAATGAAGTGATCAGGGATGGCTAAAAAAAATACTTGCCAAAATGTGGTCTCTTCCCCTGTACTCCCTTACCCAGCCCTTCAAGGTTAGTGAATGCCATTCACCACGGATCGCTGATCCTAGCTATTATGAGGGGACCCATTTCACTCACAAGTCATAAGACCCTGCAAGATCGTGTTGTTGCCCATCTACCCCAACCTCATCTCCTACCCTTCTCTACTGTGCTCTGACTGCCAACCACACTGACCTTCCTCCCTTGAAAAGGCCATGCCTTTCCCATCTCCAGGACCTGTACTTGTTGTTGGCACTGGCCTGCAGGTCTTCCCAAGGAGATCCTCTCTCATCATTCAGGTCTCATGCAAATGTCACCTCTTCAGAGAAGCTTTTCTCCACCTCAGGTCCACAGTAACCTCTCATTTTCTCCATTGTACTCGTCAATATTTGAAATAGTCATATTTGTGTATCTGTTTATTTCTGTTTTCTTCTCGAGTAGGCGAGTTCCATGAGAGCAGAGATCATAGCTGTTGTGTTCATCTGTATCCCCAGCACCTAGAACATTGCCTGGCACACAATTAATATTTGTTAAATGCATAAATAAACAAACTAATGAATTGCAAACAACTTTAGAAATTACCCATTCAAGAGGTCTTCAAACTTTTTAAAGCTAGTATCCCCTTACTTGATAGTCACATGAATGAAACCAATAGAAGTGAAGGGAAGGGGACGTTTGGATACCTGGAGTCTCAGCTTCTCTCCCAGCCCCTTTGGCAGTCGTTGTGCAGGTGCTATGTGGGGTTCAATTGGACAACCACGATCTAGTCCCAATTCTTCATTTATGTCAATGGTGCAGGTGCTGCCAAGGGAGAATGGGCAACCATGTTCCTCTGGTACAGAAAGAGTATCTTTTCCAAGGACTATAATTTTTTGAAATACAGGTCTACTATTCAGAAGAATGGGTTTTTTCTTAGAGGGAGGATAACATTTAGCTAAGTTAGAGTTCAAAGTTAGGATTTCCTTTCATCAAATCAGTTGCAAATGTTTATCCGTAAATACCACGTCTACCTCATGGGCTGTACAAAAGCAGGTGGGAGCTGGATCTGGCCTGTGGGCCATCGTTTGCCAATCCTTGATATGCTGACATTATTAAATAAGATAAAGCCTCTGCTTTAGATAAAAATGGTAGTGCCCAAATCTTTCTTGGATTATGATTTTGTAGGTATAAAAAGTTGCATAGAGTGAAGCCAGTCATCATAACTAAAAAAATATATATATTCTAAGTGATTCTGATGGGCACTCTTGGTTGAGAACCACTTATTTAACCCCTAGAGGAACTGAGCCAAGCATCTCTGGAAACAGAACCACGAAACCCTGAAAGGAGTTTTCACCTGCTAGGAATATTCTACCTATTTTGAATTTTGTCAACAAAAATTTTGTGGAAATTTGTTTTCTCTTTTGTTACACAAGTATCTTCATAATATCATTGATTTTCACCTCCTGGCTTGCAAAGGCTAAAATATTTACTGTCTGACCCTTTACAGAAAAAGCTTGTCAACTCTTGCAGTATGTCATTGTCTGTTTTATATTGGGCACTTTCCCTTTTTCTGTATTGGGGCATTTTCCCTTTTATGATTTCTGTAAATTATTTATGGAGTTTCTATTGTAAAAGGAATATATTCTGCTATAACATTCAGTTTACAAAAGAATATGAAGTAAAATTTGATTGGTCCTTTTCTCCAGTGTTAACACTTAACGGGTTGTAATGTACAGTTGTCCTGACTCTGCTACTTCCCAGCTGTGAGACCTCAGTTAACCTCTCTAAGTCTCAAATTCTCCATCTGTAAACAGTGATAATAACAGTTCCTACCCAACAGAATTGTTGTGTAGATAATTTGCGAGAATTCATGTGAATTGCTCAGCACATTGCCTAGTGTGCAGTTAATGTTTAATGATTTGTAACTAATTTAAAATTTTTTCCTTTTTAGTTTATATACAGACATAAATTAGTTTTTTTAAAAAAGGAATATGGTTTTTCCACAGTTAAGTTCCACAGGTGATTCTGATGTACACACACTTAAGAACAGCTGAAGTAAATATTGGGAAGTAGTTAATTATAAAAGAGATTCATATTTGGGGGCCAGAGATTGCCTTCCATCTCATAGCACAAACTAGGGAAAGGGGGAAGGCAGTAGTTTTCTTTGATGAACCTGTAGGGTAGTATAAAATGCACACAAGTAAATGTTTATTTCTGTTTTCCAGGTCTACAACTCAAACAAAGACAGTCAAAGCGAAGGGAGTAAGTATGTTGCTTGGAAAATTTTCTACAGCTGGCATTGGGATTGGGTTTTGAGAAGTTGCTACTCCAAGGAAGAACCACCAGGAGATGCTGTGGGCATGTTGGGTCTGCCCCATTTCCCCAAGAGCAGTCCGAGATGCTTCTACCCTGACTTACCATGTCAGTGACTCCAGGACATTCAGTGAGCCTGACTGGCAAGGCCGTGATGACACCTTGCATTATATAACCCTTCACACTTTACAGAGCGTTTTCATGTACATTATCTCAGTTAATCCTAGGTCTTCTTAAGAATGGAGCTCCAGTCACCACTTAAAGTCACTTAATCCAATAATACCCGGCTCCCCGAGAGCCCTGTCCTGTGGGAAAGCCAGAATTGACTTTGCCTCTTACACAGTCTCGCTCAAAGGAAAGGAGAGACAATAACTATCTTAGTGATCACTTAGTAACTCTGTGTTCTTTGTTGCTTCTTTGGAGAGAAAAGAGTAGAGATGATGAACTCCATAATAATATTCCTCTTTGATGGGAGTGACCCTGGGCAGCCCCTCTAGAATATACAGGACATTTCCCCTGCTCCTGGCTCTGAGCAGGCTGGGTAATCGTAATTTCCAAGGGCTCCTGTAACCTTGTAAACATGATAGGATTAAAATGAAACTGCTACTGCTAGAGCATTTGGGCTGATTATCTCCTTGGTGCATAGGAGAAAAAATAAATTCCTTCCAGGTTCCTACAAGAGTGCAAAGGAAATTCTGTCCCTTTGCCTCAGATTTGCTTTTTAAAATCCTCTTGGAAAAAAATTCAGATAGCTCCACCATGAGTTCAGGTAGGGTCAGAAAAATCAGTAAAACAGTACCTCTCCATGTGGACAAAAGGATGAGCTATTTTTGTGTGTGTGAAATCCATTATAGCACAGAGATTTTCCTTCTTTCTTTCCAAAATACAAATTTTACCAGGAGTTTTATATAAAATATTAATTTGGAATGGTTGCTATTGGTAGGTTAAGAGGCCTTGAGGACAGGAAAAAATTTTTTTCCCCCTCAAGAATTGAACAAGGGAAAATTTTTTCAAGTAAATATTCAAGGAAACAGGTCATTTTCCCTCCCTCTGTATCAGGTGGGATTGTTTTAGAGCATCTGAAATTGACTCTGGCTAACTTGGGCTAAAATTACAATAGCAAAAACAACAGTAATAATAATGAAGGAATATGGAAGGCTGTAGGGTTATTCACAGTAAGGTAGGGAGAGCTGAAGAACCAGGCTTGAAAACAGACCAGCTCTGGAGACCCAGGAATCAATGAGAAAGGGTCTTCTGGATAGTATTTGCAGGATGATAAAGTTCTAAACTGTTTTTAGTTCTTGCCTCCCTCTTCTGATTGACATTCCCAGGAAAGATAACATCAAGTTGGTCTAGCTTGGGCCCACCCAGAGGAAAACAACACACTTTGGTTGACAGTTTCAAGAGTACTGCATAAAATGGGAGCTGGGTAGTTTGCCAGAGGGAAATCGGGTAACCCACCAGCACAAGAGAGGATAGATGCCAAGCAGGCTAAAATAGCAGATGCCCATACCATGCCCCATCCTGGGACACACTATCTTCCATAGTAAAGGACCCAAGAACTGTGGGAGATCATGTGCATATGAATGGAGACCCCCGATCAGAAGCTTGCTTGTAACTTGTGATCTTATGAACTTGCTCCTCTCTGCTTGTGATAAGTGCCAATAGATTTGAAAGATGACCCTGATTCTATTGGTAGGCATGCCAGCAGGTTCTAACATTCTGTAAGGCCTTTTAGGAATATGTATTAGAAGCCTTTAAAAAGTGAATATCCTTTGACCCAACAATTCGTCCTGGAAAAATAGACTAGAGTGCAATGATGTTTGTGCAAAAATGTTCATTGGAGCATTGGTAATAAATAATGGCAAAGAATTAGAGACGATCTAAATGTCCAAGAGGAAGCTGATTAAAAATATCATAGACTACAATGTAGTCTTTAAAAAGAACAAGAGAGATCTAGGTATATTTGCAGAAATGGTACCCACAGTATATTGATAGTTGAGTTTTTAAAAAGTCATGTTATAGAACAATGTATTTAGTAAAATAAATGATTTGATTCATCTAGATACATTTATCATCAAACTCTTCATCAGGATGGAGGGGTGGATTGTGGGAGATACTGGCCTTCTACTTCCGATACTTCGCATTGTCTACAGTGAGCATGTATTTCACAACAATAGCTCTGAACAGATAGCATTTATTAACCTCTTACTATGATTCAGGATGTTGTATGCACATTAGCTCATTTAACGCTTGCAGTGCTGTGAGATAGGTGCTTTTGATCTACTGGAGATTAGGAAATTGAGGCTAGTCAACTCAGGGAACACGATTTAATCTGAGTTCTAACTCTAACTGCTCTGTTGTTAACCACGAGGATGTTCTACCTCCCCAGGAAAAGAACAATACAGAAAGTTCCATTTTGGAAAACATAGACACCTACAACATTTTGCTTTTGGCGTCTGGTTATTCACAGAGCACAGAGAGTTGGCTGCCTCGAGTCTGTTGATTCTTCAGTTGCTTACCCTTTCATTTAGCAAGTGGGAGAGAAGAAGATGAGTTAAAACATATTGGCCACTTTTCCGGGCGTATTTTAGATAGAAATTCTTTTTCTAGGATATTATTATTCTAACAAACGTTCCATTCACTGATTTCCAAGCTGGCAAAACCAGAGTAGTGTTCTGGGTTGGTGCTTCCTCACCTCCTCTGGCGTTAGGACCCTTTTTTTGCGTCACACAATGTCTCCTCCGAAGTGGTTATACTTTTAGTATCTTTTGATTGCAGTAACCTGCAGTTTGACCCCACACCTACCCACAGGGCTCAGCTGCCACAGGTGGCACTATTGCCCAGGGGCTGATTGTTCTGCAGCTCTCTTTCTGTTTATACCACAATTGAAATTCTTTTAAAGGTAAGAAGTCAATTTGATATGAGTTTAAGAGTGGGGCATTGCTCTTTTCACCTTTAGTATCCAAATGCCACATGTCTAGCATTTTTCTTTCTAGAAAATGTTTTGGTGGGAATTTGAATGTCAACATTTTGTCATGGAGCCAAAATGTTTTGAAGGAGCAGGTAGTGGAAAGGAATTCCTTTGGGGATACTTCTGAATGTGTTGCTTTCATCTTGAAGTTTCTCTCAGGACATCCAGTGCCTGTGGGATATAAGACAGGGCCATAAATAATGTCTGTCAGCTGCTGGTATTTTCCAAAGGGCCCAGTTACCAGGGAGAGGACGGCAGCAGATAAATACCTGCACATTTCTTTGCAGAGTCTTTTTCTTCTCCTCTTTTCTTCTCTATTTGGATCTCAGGTATAGAGGGACTGAATTAGTCACACTCCCCAGTTTGTGGCACATTATCATCACATTCATTCATTCATTCATTCATTCATTCATTCATTCCCTTTTCGTTCTTTTCTCAACTCCTATTCCTTATCTCCCCTATAGGCTACCATTCTAATGGGTCTTTTTAAACTGTATTCTTGGACAATATGTATCTTCCATCTGCCTGTGTTTATAAGTTTTATAAATGGCTATCTCTCTTGTTCTGTATCTTACTTTGCTCCCTCAGCATTGTGTTAGGAGCCATCCATATTCCTCTACTCTTAGACCGTGGCCTCTGTTTGCTGCACCCTCTATGGTGTGTAACACTGTGTATCTGGTTTCACAGAGATGTAACACTTTGTATCTGGTTTCCATCTCCTCATGCCTCCAACTCCTCATCACCACTAACACCACCACAAAGAACATGTCCTCCTGTGTGAGAATGTCTGTGGGATCGTGTATACCCACAAGGAGAGTTGCTGGTCGGTCAAGGGTATGTGTATACCTAGTTTGAGGGAGTGCTCTCATGTTGTTCTCCAGAGTGGTTGGTCCACAGTCCCGCCAGCCCAGCGTGAGAATTTCTCCATTCCTGCCAACTCTTGCCATTATTCAGCTTTCTAATTTTTTGTCAATCTTATAGATATAAAATGATAGCTCATTGTTGTTTCAGTTTGCATTTCTCTGATAATTAATGAGTTTGAGCATCTCTTCCTATGCGTGTTGGAGTGTCCTCTTCTGTTTAGCCTATTCATGTCCTTCACCCATTTTTCTGTCACAGTTGCCATTTTTTCTTGTTGATTTGTAAAGTTCTGTCTGTATTCTTTTTTTTTTTTTAATAATTTTATTTATTTTTTTCCCCAAAGCCCCAATGGATAGTTGTACGTCGGTCGTAGTTGCACATCCTTCTAGTTGCTGTATGTGGGATGCGGCCTCAGCATGGCCCGACAAGCGGTGCATCGGTGCGCGCCCGGGATCCGAACCCGGGCTGCCAGCAGCGGAGCGCATGCACTTAACCGCTAAGCCACGGGGCTGGCCCTCTGTCTGTATTCTTGAGATTAACCCCTTGTTAGTTGTAGACTTTTTAAATATATCTTCCCATCTTGTCATTCATCTGTTAATATTATGTGTGATATCCTTCCTTGACTATAAAGCCTTTTCATATATTCAAATTCATCTCTTTTTTTTTTACATCTGTTTTATGATTTTCAAGTTGTGTTTTCAAGACGGCCTTTCGACCCATGTCATAAAGACGTGCACCTACATTGTTTTTTCTTGGCTTCCTGATTTTGTCTTTCACATTTAGGTTTCTAATCCAACTGATATCGACCGTTCTATATGGTGTTTCATGGGGATCCAGTTTTATTTTTACCCAGGTGAAGAGTCAGTTTTTCCCAGCAACATCTACTAAACAACCCATTCTTTCCCTCTTTGACTGTGGTGCCAGCTTTATTGTGTATTAGGTTGTATATCTGAGCTCTGTCTCAGCAATTTATTTCCTTGGCTTGTTTTGTGCTAATACCTCTCTGGTTTTAATATGATGACTTGGAGGCAAGTCTTAATAGCTGGTAGTTTAAGTCTCCTCTCTTACTCTCCTTTTTAAGGGTTGACTTAGCTGCCTGGGACCTTTATCCTTC